TGAACTTACGGAAAAGGAATGTTTTGTCTCTTTTAAAACGTGAAGTGCTGGCTCAGGCCCTTTGGACAGCTATGAAAGGGCCTGGCCAGCCCTTGTAAACACACACCTTCCAGGATCATGGGTTTAGCCTGGCAGGTACTTGCTGTGTGTGACTGCGGGGAAGAGGTACGGGGTGGAGATCAGCAAGGACCTTATACCTCCGTGGGGCAGAAACTGCAAGCAGAGGCAGAAAGAGAAAAGGACAGTGCCTGCAGGTGTACGTGAAGACCGTCTGGATTTATATTCACTGTGTTTTATAACAAGTAGCCTTGAACTCACAGGTCTTTTAACTTTAAGTTAATTAAATTCCACGTGATCTTTGGGAAATGAAATTTCAGAATTTTAACTCACCAATTGTTGGCACGGCCTTACCACTTCCTTCACCTATGGCTTTTGGGACTACATTTACGCCAAAGCTTCTAAAAACGTGTATTGTGTCTGGGTACCTAAACAACAGAGTTGAGGGCTGCCTGTAGAGAAGCTAAGCACCAGTCACTCCTACTGACTTCAGACTGAAAGGCCAGAATAAAGTAGACTTTTTGTAGGTACTTTGTCTGCCAAAGACCGGACTGACAATGGGCGGACAACTCTGAAGATTTATGTTGTCGTCATGCTGTGCCTCAGTTTCCCCAGCTGTAAAAGGATGGTGAGGCATAAAGAATTTAAAGTTCCTTAAAGGCCTGAGACCTGCACCCAAGAAACTGCTTGATGCAAGTATGAACTATTTTCGGTCACATGCATTTATCTTCTGTAGGTGTTTCATTTAACATTTCAGTGATCTGTTTCAGAGACCATGGGAGTCCACGTATTTCAGGGAAGTGAGAGATACGGTGTAGTCCTGAGCTTTCTGGGGAAAGGGGCCACAGAATCAAGTCTCAAAAATACACTGCAGATGCGGGCATCTAAGCCCAGCAAGTCTACAGGTTTAACTGTATAGATTGAAGGGGGAAATCATTGCTGAGCTGTTATAGTTCCTTATCTCTCCGCGATCAGAAGTAGAAACAGGCAGAGGAAAGTTTCTCCTTCCTGCTTTATGGGTGAACCTCATTCCAGAGCAGCAGACTGCAACTGATAGTGTTACACCAGGACCTTCCTGAGCCCTGAAAACAGTTTCCAAAGGTGCAGCACTGGAGTCCTTGCACGCATGTATTTTTAGACCACCAAGGTTTTCAGGAGGATGGTGGGGAAAATGAGATCACCAGAAGGGTCAGCGCAGTCATTGTCTCTAACCAGTGCCAAGCTATTCTGACTTTAGCCCAAGCAGTAGCCTCTAAAACCAGACCCTGCCGGCAGAGTCCCCCGCCCACCCCAGGGGCTTCTCCGGCTTACCCCAGGCTGACTCCTCTAACTCCTGCGCAGACGGCGTGACTCCCCAGGCTGGTGCGAAGCATTGCTTGGGGCTGTCAGCACGGGGGCTGCGGAGGTGGAAAGGAGAAGAGCCCTTGGCCTGGGCAGTGTGTCCACACAGCAAAACAAAGCCACAGCACAGCCCCTGTTCCCTTTAATCTAAGTAATGCACAGTAGTGATGAAATCAGCTTTGCCTCTGCAGGGAGCAACAAGTTGGGCAGGTATTGTAGGTCCCCAGGAGGCATGTCTTTAGGTAGCTGGACACTGACAAAGACTACTCACCATCAGCAGTTTGACTGTTGCCTTGACAATATTAAAGCTAGTTCAGATGTGTGAGTGGGGGAAGTAAGACTGCCTGGAGTGTGGGATATAGTCTGCTCCCAACATGGAACAGATCCCAAAAAATGCAAAGCCTTGGGATGTGAGTCATGTCCTTGAAATTGCCTGCTCCCTCCTGTGGAATGGCTTTGCCACAGGTATGGTGTCAGGTTGTGACAAGGGTGAAAACCACCAAGGGGCATGTGGAGTGCATGTGCCATGGACTCTCCTGGATGACCCTGGCAGTTTTTGATGGCTGAGGACAGGAGCTGATGAACCGGGTCCTCCCTTTCAGGTTCCTCTGAGCCCCTCTTACAGCTGTGCCTGCCTTTGTGCTATTTTGTGCGCTGCTGTAGCCTTTCATGCTAAGAGGGTTTATACCCATACTGCACAGGAGGCATCTGCAGGGGAGTTGCCTTACCCCAGGGAGAGCGTGAGAAGTTCTGTGGTTGCCCTGACTTACAGCTACTTCATGGGTTTCTCTGGGAACCACAGAAAACCACCAACACCCTCAGTACTCCCCAAATCCCACTGGCACCCCCCATCCAAGAACTGTCCTCACCAGAACTGGGCCTTAGGGTCTTACAGTGTTCAGGAACAAAAGACGGGAGAAAGGCCCTCCTTCTCAGCCATAGGCAGGTTCCCAGTGGCTCAGCACTAGACAAGGAGGAAGGCTGAAGAGAAAGTGGGAATATTCTCCCTATTTCTCCTCAGTTCATCTCTCACTTTCTCGCCCCTCTTAGGAACTACCACCCAGGTTTGGGATGTTGACTTGCCTGTTCCTTCTGCTGCAGGTTCCTATTGAACTGGAAAGTATTGTTGGTGTGAACAGGACAGCACCATAGGAAATTCCAGGCTTCTTCAATCTGCTTTCTCAGCAATGTGGGAAGCAACACTCCCCTTCTCCTTTCCTTCTAGTTTTACCTTCTGCCTAGAAGAGAAGCCAAGACGTCTGATGGTTATAAGGAAGAGTGTGTGGATGATGCTGACCCCATGCAGTTCCTGGCTCCTCCTGAGAAAGAGAAAACTGAGGCCATGAACAAGGCCTATGACATCAAGACATCCTGCTGGGTAAAGGATGAGAAAGTGGGTTTCCTCGCTGGGGAGATCCAATCTGAAAAGGATGACAAAGTCACGGTGAAGATGGTAATCAACCAGCTAAGCTCTACTTTATGGGTTCAACAGGAAAGCAGTAGCCTACTGCCCCCAGAGGAAGTGCAACCATGTCTGAGTCCAGATCTATTTTGCTCTGTGGGTCAGCCGATTTGTGGGAGTCCTTTCTTGAGGCCACCAGCCAGAGGCAGTGGTGGCCTGAAGTGGAAGCATGTCCAAGAGAGTGTCTTCCCATGTGGTTCATGGAGACCTATCTGGGATAACACCACCTTCTTCCCGTTCCCCAACACTGCAGACCATCATGGTGAAGAATGTCCAGCAGACGGATGGAACGGTGGATGATGAACCCACCCAAGTTCAACCAGATCGATGACATGGCAAACATGACCTTCCTGAACACGGCCAGCGTCCTGGACAACCTATGTCAGCACTACACCCACATGAGGATCTATGATTTGGAAGGGCAGAGGGGAATAGCAAAGCAGCATGGGGTAATGGCAGGACAGGAACGGGTCCTGACTCAGAGGGCCAGCCTGTGCTGCTGTAAATTGGCGGGGTGTGTGTGTGACTTAAATCTTCCCGTGTCAGCTCGTGTCCAAGCCCCTTTTCCCTGCCTGTCTGTCACTTGTTAAAAGCAAATGGCAAAGCACCACGACATGTGAGTTCTCTGCTTTGCTCTGCCCTGTCTTGAAATGAATTCCCTGCATTTCTTTTTTCCCATTCATAAAACAGAGGGTGATATTGATCTGTGGCTGCAATGAATCTACCTTCACACAGAGCTCTGGGGGCTTGCAGGTGGTCTGGAAACTGAAATAAATAGCAGGGGGAGGAATAATCACAGTGTCTGCAGAGAGCATGGAGATTCTTGAGAGAACAGCGCTGTAGAGCAGCCTCAGGGATCCTTGGCCAGGTGGGACTTCCCAGCACTTTGTTTCCTGCCACCTGCAAAAACAAAACGTAGTAAAAAGTGTTTCATCTGGGTAAAATATTGTGAAGAGCAAGTTGTCCAAATAATAAAAGAGACATAACCATCAATAATCAGGGAGGGAGACCTGGTCTTTTTTCTCATGGTAGCAGTGTGTTGTTTGGTAGCAAATAGAAAGAAGCACTCCATGCTAATGGCTGCTTCAGCATGCAGAGGCATTGCAGCTTCTAAGGCTGAGGGCAGTGGTTTCTCTTCTCTCCTCTCTCCTCTCTTCTCCTCTCTCCTCTTCCTCTTCCCTCCCCTCCTCTCTCCTCTCTTCTCCTCTCCTCTCCTCTCCTCTCTTCTCTTCTCTTCTCTTCTCTTCTCTTCTCTTCTCTTCTCTTCTCTTCTCTTCTCTTCTCTTCTCTTCTCTTCTCTTCTCTTCTCTTCTCTTCTCTTCTCTTCTCTTCTCTTCTCTTCTCTTCTCTTCTCTTCTCTTCTCTTCTCTTCTCTTCTCTTCTCTTCTCTTCTCTTCTCTTCTCTTCTCTTCTCTTCTCTTCTCTTCTCTTCTCTTCTCTTCTCTTCTCTTCTCTTCTCTTCTCTTCTCTTCTCTTCTCTTCTCTTCTCTTCTCTTCTCTTCTCTTCTAAACATTGGGGGGTCTGTGTGTGGGTGTTTGGAGGAAGTGATCCAGAGCATCCCTGGAAATGTCTCCTCTTCCTCTTTCTTCTCTTCCCCTCTCCTCTCTTCTCCTCTCCTCTCTTCTCTTCTCTTCTCTTCTCTTCTCTTCTCTTCTCTTCTCTTCTCTTCTCTTCTCTTCTCTTCCCTTCCCTTCCCTTCCCTTCCCTTCCCTTCCCTTCCCTTCCCTTCCCTTCCCTTTTCTCTTCTCTCTTTCCTCTTCCCCTTTCTCTTCTTTTTCTCTCTTTTTTCTTTGCTCTCTTTTTTCCTCTCCTTCCTTTCTCTTTCCTCTCCCCTCTGACTCTACTATGGGGGTCAGTAAAACAATTCAGAATTTAAAGACATAAATAGCAGCTACATTTGGCCTTGCAGCAAAAATCCTGTTATTCTAGCCTTGTGGGATTCCTTCGATGGCTTCCTATTTCACCTCCCAGCTTCCTCACCACCAGAGCTCTGGATTGTCATGTCCCAGCTTGTACCTCTGCGCCTGTTTCCTCCTCCACAACTTCTCCCCCCGAGGCTGTCCCTACCCTACACGCATTCCTAGCCTGTCTTATGCTGCCCTCTATCCTTGGAATAACCTTCCTCTTCCTACAAGCAATAAACCTCACTCCTCTCTCCTAGCTTTCTGCCTGCAGATCCCAGCGTTGCCCTGCCATTCCCCTGTGGGTCTCTCAATCCCGGCACATCCCGAAACTCTTTTCTGGAAGACTGAAGTGCTAAGCACTGAAAACTGCATTACACTTTGCATTTGGTGTTGCTTCTTGGAACTGGGGAGATTAGCCAGACTCCTGCCTGCCCCAAATCCACAAGGCTGGACCTCTGTGGAGAGCCTTCGGTAGGGCTGAACCTGGAAAGGCATTACTGCTCGCAGCAGTAACTCAGCTTTCTGTGGGAGCTGACTGACAAGAAAATGTATTTAACGGGTTGCTTTGGATGGCGAGGAGTAGTTGTGCTCAAAGCCTAAGTCTTCAGCGTTGAGCATCCTGCTGATGCTGACTTCTATCTTCTTTTGGTGGGAATCCCTGGAAGATCAAATCACCCAGGCGCATCCTGTTCTGGAGACCCTTGATAATGCTAAAACTACAAGGAAGAACAATTCCTCCCATTTTGTAAGTACCAGCCCTTCTTTGGATTTCACTGATAGGTCACTAGCAGGTCGTACAAAGATGTTCCCTCAGAAGAAATAAAACCAAAAATTATCTTAAAATGCTTCCTCAAGCACTACAGTTAGTTTATATTTACTAACATTTCACATGAAGCACTATTGGTTCCCATTTTCTTGAACGAAGTTTGTCAGTTGATTTTGTTTTGACTTCATATTTTTATATGTCAAAAGAAAAAAACAGTTTGGATCAACCCCAAATCAATGCCCTTTCAACTGTTTACTTCTGCAAAGATTCAAAATGCTTTCATTTTTTGCAGATTATTTTTAATTTTGAAATTGTCAGTGAAAATGTAAAACATTGGGGTTTTCAACTGGTCTCATTCCTCTGTTTCTGTGTGCTACATACTTCTGCCATATGCTGCAGAGAAAGGAGGATTTCTTTAAGCTCTAATACAGAATCCAAGAAAAAAGAGGTTTTTTTATAGATCTGATCTTTGAAAAGATTAAATTTCCTCGCACTGACTTGCAAATTTGCCCCTACAGGCAATGCTGTCTGTCCCTGATGAATGCTCAGAACCTCTCAGCTACTTTCTGTTTTCCTACAGATACTGCAATCTTGATTAACAGACTCATCTTTTATTTTCTCTTCTAGGGCAAATTTATTTGAACTCACCTTGTTAGCACAGGCAAGCTGGCTGGGGCTAACACTGAGGGCTGTAAGCAGGCACATAATTCTTTATATTAATTTTGCTTTGGATTTTTTCCTTGTGTTGAATGGACCCTGTTCCGATTACATCAGCCACGTGCAAATCTGAAACGAATTCTATTAACTTGAGGGATCTGCACTGCTGTAAGTGAACCCAAAATCTGCCTCTACTTCCACAGTGAAGTTACGTGCTGTAGATGATGACAAATTTATTTCTTCTTTCTTTAGTTGCCTATGAGACTCTGTGAACACATAAAAGGCACAGTGCCTCCCCCAAAAGCTGTACACTTTTAATTCTACAATTATATTGCAACCATTACTCACGTTCATCAGTACAACGCTATAATTGTCTTGCAACCAAGACCCTAAAAATAGCTATCCAGGGAAGGTGCATTGTTCTTTGTTTGCACATGTGCATCCGAGACTAATTTGAGAACCACAAATCCCAGCTCTCAAGGTAAAAAGACCACACCATGTTTCCTGCCTAAAGCCCTTTAGCACGCAGAAAAAGGAGAGAGGAAACATATGGACCAGTTATTCTTTAATGTGGGATTGTCTGCATCCCTCCTACTTTCAACTCATCCCAGATTTGCATCACACCCAGAGACCATATGTTGGATTTGCCTCTCTGGACAGTGGGCCAAGGCAAGTTTCAGGTTGTTTACTGGCAGGTTGCAGCTTCTTCCAGCCTGGCCTGGAGAGCAAGTGCATGGACAGACCTTCACTGTGCAAGCAGCAGCACTGGCTCAAGGTCCTTCTGCACCCTCAGTGGAGCTCTGCTGGCAGAAGGGATTGTATGAGTGCTCCCTGAAGTCACCCAGACTAACTAAAATTGACAATAAAGGTGGTTTGAGTCAACCCAAATTTGTCTGAAGAACTCACATGATGCCGTTCACCAGCAGAGCTATATGGACAGAAGACTTCAGCTGAGGGGCAGGGATGAAGAACACCCAGCCAGGACTGCCAGCGAGGTCTGGTGATTTGGTGCAGCTGAATGAATTGATACAGTGAGGTCTAGAGGAGGATGTTTCCTGTGGAGACCAGAAGCCAAACTAAGCTTGTTAGTGCCTGACAGAAGGTATGGAGAGAGTGATTACAGGGTACAAAACATCTTTTCCAGAGCTCTTCTCAGAAAGAAAGGGCAGTGTAAGGACACGTTTCACAGGTCAATCTTACAAACCGTGCACTGGCAATTCAGAGGACACTTAGAAGTAGGATGAGTTAGTCTGGAGATCTGTTCCTGAATCCAGCAATGATGTAACTGGACAAGCGATGGCATCTTTTGCCTCCATTTCACTACCTGCCAAAATAGCTGTACTAAAGCTTGTGCCAGTGGGAATGCTGTGAAGCTTAAAAGCTCTGAGAGCATCACTGAAGGATACTATGGTTCTTGCTGCACTCACAGGACTTCCAAAGGACATTGGTGAAATGCTGGTTTCACTGATATCAAAAGCAAAATTCTCACTGACATCCACAGGGCCGTGATTTTTCAGTCTCTGGCTGCTGCCTACACTTGGATGTGTTTCCCTCCGTGTTCCAGGTCTGGAGAAGTCACATGCCATTTCCCAGGAAGTAGCTAAGAGATATTGTGATAGTTTCCATCAGATTCTCTCCAAGAAGAAACTTGAACTTATTGGTATGGCACTTTGTGTGTGTTATTCTCTCCCTTTAATGCACACATCCCTGCTCGATCCTCTGTTTCTAGAATAAGAAACCTACTCACCAGAACTGTACTTAGCTAGAGATTGAAATAGGTTCTCTGCAGTGGGGGTTTGTTACTAATTATCCAGGAAGAAGAGGATTGCAAGTGACTTTTCCTTAGGCAGGCCAGAGTGAGAAAAGAAAGCTGTCTTCCCTTGTCTCGATCAATGCGTGGTGAGGTCCCGCTTGATCTGGCAGGGCTGCCACTAAGGTAAAAATGATCATTTTCAAACTGAAGGGTTGAGCTGCTTCATGTCAATTGCTTACGTCTCCTCAGGACAGGAAAGACAGCCAGGACAAGTTTTTCAATACTGTTGAAAAGGTTTGGGTGTTCAATCCCACTTACTTTGACGTGGCTGCTATGTCAAAATCTCCTCGGTAGCCTAAGCAACTCATCCCACAGAAGGCTTTTTTCTTAAGTAATACACTCAGAATGTGCTCAGGAATTGAAACCTAGAAGAACTCTCAGTGTCCAGTCAAAAAGCTCATGTTATGCCTTGATTGTACTGATGGCAATTAGTGTAATCACCTCTTGGTCTGTCTCTTGCTGCAGAAGCTGCTTCTTGTGCCCAATCCTAATCATTACCACTGGGTGCATCGAGGTGTGATCACAGCAGACAACACGGATGGTGGGGAAGAGCCACTTCTCACTAATGTAAGTCCGGAGAAACATCAGTGAAATTGAAAATGCAGCAAACAGGATGCTGCCCCCCCCGGCCTAACTTTCCCCTAGGAATAAAATTCAGCTTCTTCAACCTGCGGATAAATAAGCTACTGGAAGAGCAGCTAGGGATAGCCTAAAGATTTGTTCAATTGTCTGTGAGCTGAAGCCTGAATGTGAAAGATCTGCTCCAGAGCAAATGAGCTTGCCGTAGGAGTTTCTGGTTAACATTCAATGGCCTGGGGTTTGCAGGACTTCAGATGAGCTGGTTATAAGGTTTGTTTGAAGCCTGAAAACTGACAGATCTGAAGGCTGTGGCAGAGACCATGGGTTAAAACCTGCTCATCTCGCATACATATGTAATCTCAAGGAGCAGCTTTTGTAAGAGGAAGACTTGACCCTTTGTCTGGTTTTGACACA